AATAGATTGTATTAGAATTTACTATTTAAACCAATTGAAGCTTTGTATTGTCAGTTACAATGTTACTAGGAAAGGTTCTGAAGAATCTGTAAAGCGAAACGTTGAGTGTTCAATTGATGAAGAAAAAATTACAAATTTGGTGTTATAAGGTTGATTATTAGTGGTATTAAAAGGTCTCTGATACACCAATATGTACTAAAGAAATTTGGTGTTATAAGGTTGTTTATTACTGGTATTAAAAGGTCTCTGATACACCAATATGTACTAAAGAAATTTAATAACGAGTTCTAAATATTTATGTGTGTGTGTGTTGTAGGCTAATATAAATAAAAGGTAAATTCGGTAACTATTTATTTAACCGGAAAACGTAGCTTTATCACAAAACAAAATGCGAATATAAGTGCACAAAAACTAATAGACCGATGTACACGAAGCTTTTACGCAAGATGGGAAGTCAGTATGGGACAGTCCTCCCCAGATTTGGTCCGGATCCATATTGTGGATCACTTTAATGGGGAAATAGAGCATTTTCGCGGTTTGGGGTTAATAACCCTGTAAATTGTGATCGGACTTGTGCCAAATTTCATGGGCATATTAAGGTTCAGACTCTTCATCACAATACCAAAAATTATCTAGATCGTTGATCATTCTGGATCTGAGAAGGATTTTCTGAGTTTTCGAAGGTGAAATTTGACGTTATTTGATATATACGCGTGCAATCTCGAAAAGGAACGAGGGTAGGTAATCTCTGTGATTGCTCTTGGTATTGAAGGTTTCGAACGAGCAAGGTTTCCATCATTAATAATCTATAGAAAATAAAATAAATATAATTATAGTAACAGAAATACAAAAACTAATAGGCCTAAAATTTGTGATAAAACTCATGTTAACTGGAGATATTTTTTCTTCTCCTTGTTACTCTTAATGTGTTCGTTATGAATTCAAAATCAATTTTTTCTTCTCCTTGTTACTTTTAATTTGTTCGTTATGAATTCAAAATCAGAGGTGAATAAAGTTAGAAAAACACTAAGTCATATGAAAATTGTGTGGTGTTGAAAGGAAGGAAAAAAATTTAAATTAGCAAGTGTATCTGAAATTTTTTTCAAAACTAGCAGTAACAATAATTCTAAAGTCTGATACACTGATTGAGGTGTCCTGTAAACTTCTGATAAAAGAAAACTTGCTAATCAAACATTTATTTCCTTACCTCAACAACACGAATCTATATAAATATAATAGTACTGTCTGTTGTATGTCAATGTAACTACTTCGCAGAGTATGGATGGATCTTCACCAAAACTGGTATGGAGGTTCGTTAGATCCATGGGGAGATAAATAAAAAGTTTCAATTTTGCGGTTTTGTGGGTTTTATGGGTGTTTTTGCCTTTCTTACCACTACGTCGTCTCCTGTAGATGGATTTTCAATAAATTTGCATGAAGGTTTGTTGGTTCCATGCGGAGATACATGCAAATTTGCGGTTTCACATTTTGTGTTTTGCGGTTTTTATGGGCGTTTTTTACAATTAAATATAAGGGAAGCAACGTTTCATGTTGTCCTAAGATAATCTTTCATTCATCATGAACTCACATAACTTCCGTCCAGGGGACGGATACTCCAGCTAATTCTTCATATGATTTGAAATTGTCCTAACTTGAGTTTGTTATGTAATTTTATTTGTTTTCGTTTTTATAGATTACTGATGATGGAATCCTTGATCTTTTGAATTGTTTGATTAATATGCTTTGTGCCGTATTTTGTTTCGTGATAAAGGTAAATACGTTACCGTAGCACAAGATGAAACCCCGTATAAAGTTTTGTTGATAAAAGTCAACCTTTATATTTATTAGCGTTTAGTTATTTTACCTGTATTAAAATAGAAAATTTAATTGTGATACCAAATAAATGCTTACAATAAATTTTTTTATATAAATGTGTTCCTCCGAGCAGTATGTTTATGGAGTTACAACGCTAAAATCCGTGGTTCAATTCCTGCGATAGATATGACAGATACTTTTGCCCTAAAACAAACAAACTAAATAAATTCGATAACGAGGAACGCACTTTGAGACTAATAATGGCTGGAGACGGCTTGAATGGGTAATGAAGAAAAACTTTAATATAAGTTTAACATAACAGCAAATGTACAACGTTTCGACAAGGTTTTGTCATCATCAGGTACAAGTAATTTACACTGACACCGATATATATATATACAGTGTTGAACAAAAAAGTCACATGATCGGAACTGTTGTGAAACTTAGAAGCGGTATCTAGGCACCCGGGGTGTTGGTTTCGAGTAGGGTTGTTTTGTTCAATTAAG